AAGTGGTCATGGATTTAATGATACTGAAAAACAAATTGTTTTAAATTTCTTTGACAGTGATGATATTAGTAGGCCTATGCCAGGAAGTAATGATTATGTTTCTGAATATCGAAATGGATATAAAGAGCATGTTCAGAAACGTTTATTGATGATGTCTCTTAAAGAGGCTTTTATGATTTTTGAAGAGAAATACAAAAGTGTTAAAATCGGATTTACTTCGTTCACTCAGCTCCGACCAAAGCATTGCATACTGTTGGATAGTACAGGTACACATAATGTATGTGTCTGTACTATACATGAAAATGTTAAATTGATTATTAATAGTGTAAAATTTGATTCATATAAAGAAATTGCAGACAAAATACTTTGCAGTAGTCCTATTAGAACCATAGATTGTTTTTATCGTACATGTGAAGAATGCATTTCCACAAATAGTATCGTGAGGGAACTTACATCAGTATTAGAAGCAGATGATATGGAAGAAGTTTTATTTCAACAGTGGTTGACTACCGACCGTTGTAATTTGGAAACTATTATTAAACCTGCAGATGAGTTTGTTCAATATTTGACGGAAAAAGTTGAAAAGCTCATAACCCATGATTTTATTCATAAAGAGCAATCATCTTACCTAAGTAATAAAAAAAATTCTCTTCAAAACGGTGAAATTTTAGTAATTTGCGACTTTTCTGAAAATTATTCATTTATTATTCAAAACTCAGCACAGGGGTATCATTGGAACAATAATCAAGTTACGATACATCCTTTCGAAATTTACTACATAAAAGAAAACAAGTTGGAAAATTTAAGCTTTATTATTATTTCAGAAGTATTGACCCATGATACAATAGCAGTTCAATTATTTATATCAAAATTGTTAGATTTCATTAAACAATCTATTAGTTTCACAAAAATTACTTTCATGTCAGATGGAGCAGCGGCTCATTACAAAAATAAAAAGAATTTTACCAGTTTGTGCAACATCAAGTCTAAGTATGGATTGGAAGCAGAATGGCACTTCTTCGCAACGTCTCATGGGAAAGGCCCATGTGACGCAATTGGAGGAACTCTCAAACGAATGGCAAAAAGAGCAAGTCTTGCTCGAGATTATGGAAACACAATCACAACTCCACAAGAACTGTATGACTGGGCTACAAGCATAACAAAATTGAACTTCTGCTTCATATCAAATGATCAATACACAAAGATGTCCGATGAACTCAAGGAGCTGTTCAGTCATGTAAAAACTATACCTGGTACACAAAAATTTCATTGTTTTGTACCTATTTCTCAAAACATAATTTCTACTAAGCGATTTTCACATTCAAAGGAAACTCCGAAAAATTTCACTCTGTTTCCGATAGACTAATAATCAATGAAAAACTCAAATTATGTATGGAGAATTATAGGAAAATAAATTATGCACTAAACAAAAACACTAGAGTTTTCATTTATTAAAACACCATTCGAAATGCAGGAAAATCCTCTGTATTAGGCCCTTTCAAATGTTAGACTAGATTTTTGTTTTATGCTCATTAAGTTTCAACGGATTTTAATAAGGTTGTGCGCGTATTACTATTCGACTTTGAGTGAAACACGCTAAAAAAATTAACATGAAAAAGTTGTTGTTCGAACAACTTTTTTTCCTTAAAAGCGCCCACTTTGCGATGTATCAAGAAAAGTTAGGTAATTATATTGCCTTTCATGAGAAAAAATATCAAGCAAATCTGAGGGGTACCATTTTTGGGAAAATGACTTTTAATTTTTTAATATATTTTTTTAGAGTGTAGAAACCAATTTTTTAATTTATTTAAATTTTTTTATAAAATTTCAGATTATTTGCTAAAAGTTCGCCATACATCACTATTTTGTAGGGCTTGTCATTTTTAAGCTATATCGATTTGAAAAAAAAATCGACAAAAAACTTTGACCCTTATCAAATGTTAGGCGAGATAAATTTTGAAAAAAATAAGTACTCAAAGTTGCTTAAAATTGCTAAGTCTCCACACCCACAAAGTTTCATAAGGTTCTGAGAGGGTGCTGCCAACTCCGAAGACGAGTTGGCGTGAAATCCGTCATAAGCTGCATATGTCCAATACGTGTCAAAGTGGATTTTTAACTCCATTTTTAAAAACAGTGTTTAATGTTAACTACATTTTTAAAAACAATGTTATTCATAACAAGTTTTAAACTCATTTTGCACTGGTATCCCATTTCATAAAAAAAACGAGATTTTTCTGATCGTTCATGGAATTTTGAGGTAGGAACAAATGTTGAATAAAATTTTTCTAAAACGATGCCTTTATCCAATTACCAAAATTAAAAAAATATTTCATGTTGGAATTTAGAGACAGACATTTGTAATTCTTTTTATCCCTATAATCCCGATTGTTCAACGCTAGATCAGAATCCGGGACCTCTGGTAGAAGATCATTAAATCGCACGTATTGAACCGTTGCCCCCAGGAGGTGAAATGCGTACCTAGACTTTCCATCAGCATAATGAAAAAATAATTGCTCACGGTTATGCAACAAAGCATGAAGCATCGATTCCTCTGATTTGAACTTTATGAACAGTAATTCCGGCTTTCAACAGGCATCTCCAGTTGTTTGCTTCCAATGCAATGACAAAACCGAACGAGCTGCAGACAATGAACAAGTGCCGCAACAATAGATGCAATCGAATAAACAGATACCGCGTAATCAGCATAAAAATACATAGTTGAAGATGCTAATTTCAAATAACAGACTGTAGTGGTAAATTTTATACGATAGATGGAGTAGATGAAAGCATAGAGTTGATAGTTCCGTTAGAGTACGGCAGTGTGAAGATTGTATATAGATATTAGAATAGCGAACTAGGACAACTTTTAAGGAAGGTACAAATCGGTTTTTTCATCTCTCTTTACCAAACTCCCCCTTTGGAGAGGGATGGTGAGGGGTGTCCCCCCCGCCACCACTGGCAAATAGAGATGAAAACCGACCCGCTCATGTACCAACTGTGTGTTTGAAACAGTTCTACCAATTTTTTACCGCACTTCAGTTGTTGTTTGAAGGAAGGCATCCAGTCGTAGGTTTGGAAATTGCAACTATTGTTTAAATACAGCCATCCTGTCGACAGCTAAGAGCACACTGAATTATAGTGAACATCACTTATTACAAGTGAATTCTCGAGAGAATACAACAGAAACTCAGAGGATCAAAGAAAATTCTGAGAATAGATTCTAGGAAATTTCGAGATATGTTTTATGGATATTGAAATCTGTGAATAAATTTATTAACATAGAAATTCGGAGGAGAATCCTTAGGCAATTCTAAAAAAATCAAGAAAATGGTTAGCATAAATCCAAGCGTATACCAAAAATGTTTAAAGAATACTAATATTCTATTATTTTTATTATTATTATTATTATTATTTTTTTATTTTTTTTTTTATCATTATTATTATTATTATTATTTTTATTATTATTATTATTATTATTATTATTATTTTTATTATTATTATTATTATTATTATTATTATTATTATTATTATTATTATTATTATTATTATTATTATTATTATTATTATTATTATTGTTATTACTATTATTATTATTATTATTACTATTATTATTATTATTATTATTACTATTATTATTATAATTATTATTATCATTATCATTATCATTATTATTATTATTATTATTATTATTATTATTATTATTATTTTACTATTATTATAATTTTATTATTATGCAAGAAAATGAAACGATCTATGAGCATATTCTGGGAATATTAAAAAATATATATTGAGAAAATTCCACAAAAATTCTGTGAAGGGAATTTCGAGAATAATATCATGGATTCTAGGGTATCTTTTCTATTACTACTATTTTCTATAGTCACTTATACATATTTGTCATTCGTGACATGTCCACGGATAAGATTTGATCTCATGCCCTTTAGCGTGAGAGGCGTAGATGCTAACCACTACGACGGGGCCGTTCCCACCGTGAAATATTGTGTGGTAAATTTTAAGAATGTTCCAGAAATCATCTCAACATGAATCTACAGAATTTTGAAAAGTACTCTGAAGAAATTCTTCTAAGAATACTTCTAAGTTTTATAATCAGATTCATTGAAAGCTTTCAACTGTGTGCCTCTGCAACAGATCCCAAAGTTGCTATTAATCAGTATTATTAAAAGATTTATAGATGTTTAGTTAACACTATAAAATATGACTTAGGCGAAACCTCTATGTTTCTACTTTACTAATAATGACTTTCTATTACTTCATGCGCGAAGATGACGATTAGAAAATTTGAGATGCTTAACGAATGTCAATATCAGCTTTAAAGTGAACATTGTTCACCTAAAGTCTGATATTGAACTTCGTTAATCATCTCCAACTATGTTTCTACAACAAAAAATAACTAATTAGCTAATAAATCATTCAAAAATTTAAAAAAAAAACATTTGAACTTTAGTTTATACTGAAATTATTCCGAAACCAGTTTAAGAAAGTATGGCAATCAATTTAGAGTAATCGTGAAAAACATACTCTTAAACAACTTTAAATGTAATTTAAGCTTAGAATTTCCATTGAAGGAATATAAAGTAATTAAATACCAAAACAAATACTAAACAGATACTTAGGATGCTTCAATGAATCTAACCTAACATTAAACATTAATTCATTGTCAAGTATCTAGGCGACTTTATCAAAAATTAACTTATCCATCCTATTGACACATAGGCTACTTGAGACAGGCAAATTACTATGGTAAAATTGAAGACTTTCGCAAATTAATATTTCAAAATAATCTTCTCAGTAAATACATCGTAATGTATTTAAACCGTTAAATGTTATCAGAAAAAATTAGTTCTTAAAAATAATTAAAAATGTAACAATACGCAGAATATTTCAATACATTTTCTGAGTAATCATTCGCCAACATGTTCATTACGTTATTGATTACCAGTATTTTGATTGTCCGTTCAAGTGAATCTAAATAACCATACCTGTTCCATCGGTGTTGCATTCCGGCTGAAAGCTTCTGGCAGCCTGGTGGCAGAGTTTTAATATTGCGTGCCACCTCTTGTGGATTAAATTGGTTGGTCATCTTTTCTTGAAAGTGACTGACGGCTTTGTCCGGATCATCCTCTCAGCTGGAGCGCATCAAGCACGAAAAGCTATCAGACGGTTCGATTGCGATGAATCATAAGCTGCAACGAAGTAAATGAAATATATGAAGCGACAAGTGTAAAATGCATTTTTTTTTTTTAATTTATGTTTAACTTTTCACATCACATCATTTAACAGCTACGTTCCTTGAGATTACTGTTTACATAAAGTTACTGACCTTTAGCTACAGCTAGGATGCAGAGTATATGAATTATCCTAGACTCCAAACTAATATCCACACTTTGATAGAATGACTACTACTGAAATATTTCTAGATAATTTTTTTTGTATCTATTCCTGTTTTGATTTTTATTTATTTTTCTTGAATGACTCTGATCTTATTGATCAGTTGATCACCAATTATTTCCAAAACTATTAAGTTGACTGTACGAAATCTTCTCACCAGACTTGTCACCATTGTGGTCCTCAAGCAGGTTCCCGTTTGTGTAGTGTCAAGTTCAAGATCCGTAAATAAATTTGAACAATTAATCCTAAACTCATGAGCGAGCGACCACGCTTAGAGGAACGCATCATATCGCGTTTTTGACGTTGGTTTGGTATTCAAACATGCGGCTGCTTCGGGATGTTAACACATGAAAAATGAATTCATCCATCAGCCTCTTCAAAAGGTATTAATTTCACGTTTCAGAACAGATTCAGTGAAGTGCAGTCATCATAATCGTATATGGGAGTTTCTCGCTTGCATGTGTAGACAGATGAGGAGAAAGAGTGTGCCAAACGATTGCATCCCGGTAAAGTGGATAGACATGACGAGAACAAACACCCAGCCTGCCAAACCTTGAACGCGGATTTCAACCAAACGAACCGCCGCATTACAGTTTTTTTTACGTCGTGAATGCCATGTTAGACGGAACGCAACCAGGTCTCTAAGCATATCTTGTGGACGTTGCACCGAGAAACCACGCAAGCACCCAGAAGGGAATTTCATGTTGTTCATTTGTTTTGCATTGCGATGTCCAGTCGTATTAATTTATTTTGTGAAATTTAACAACTGAAAGCCGGGGCGCTCGCGAGTTTGCCTTGAGAGAGCAATCATTGCAAGCTAGTGGTCTACCTATTTCTATACTTAGTTGCGCTAGACTCCTACGGGTTATTTTAAGTTAATTGAAAAATGAATCTGCTAAAGCGAGGCCGACAGTTTAATGACAGTTTTATGTCAGATGTTGCTAAGGTAGAAATACCCCCATGAAATCCTGCTCCAATATGTGGCAGTTTTAGTCCGGTGGAATGAAAATAGGGTTAGATTTTTTCGCTCATTGGATTGTTGATCATGGAAGATAGGATACTGAAGCGGAGCGAACGAGTAGTTGCAATATCATTATTGTATGTTTTGTGGGAGCTCTTGAAGTTTCAAGATAATGCTTCCTTAGAGATTTACTTTATTTCAGCTTAAAAGTATTCCTTATTAATCAACATAAACGCATTTTGTTTCATAGTATTTATTTCGTAGGCTCGATGTCTCTTAGCTAATCGGAGTCGATAGACTGATATTCAACAGCTTCTAGTCAGGGTCTCGAGATATAGCACATTTTTAAATATCACATACACACTAGCGCCACGTAGTGGCAGAATTCAGAACTAATTTCTCACCATTCGAAACGCTTTGGATATCTGAAAATCTTTGTCGAAGTCAGCTTCTTACTAAATTATAAAATTTCTGGAATTTCGAGATAAGGACATTTTTGTTGCCTGATATGAGGAATGTTCAGTGACGACAGTTATAGATGATCATCGGAAATTATCACTATTGAATATGATCATGATTTCTAACAATTTGAATATGATCATGAGTACAAGCATGGGAAAAATCAATCACTCGCGCGCGCACCACAAAACAAAATAGCCATCCTCACCTAAAACATTTTGCTAAACGAGTGCAAATTCTTCCAACCAGGGAGCAGGAGAGCAGGAAGACTCGGAACTGACAGCAGTAGGTAATAGGAACGGAAGATAAACTGAAAGACGGCCGAATAATTAACCACTTGATTCGAGCAGTTAAAATGACGTTTACTACCACTCGAACTTTGAAATAAAACATTACTTTGAGATTTTTCTAGAACCACGAGAAAAGTAACCATCATTTGTGCGTTTTATAAAAAAATAGAAATTAGTTGGTCCAGTTTTGTGAAATCACTGGTAAAATGTCACACCTAAACTGCTTGACAAAGTGGTCAAATTCTCTACTGTGGAACCCAATTGAAAACGAAGAAACCTAACAAAAAGAATACGAACGAAATCAGTGCGGTTCGCATAAGTGACTGCTCGTGTCTGAAGTTGCATTCGTGTAAGTGAGTGAACGCAACAAAAAAAAACCGTCCGGTATTCGTGAACAAACAATCATGATAACCAGTACTGCTAATTCATTTGAATTTATGACTTAGTTCCCGTAAACGTGATCGAGTAAACCACATTGTCATGAAATAAATCCCAAATTCATGAACTTACTTCACGCCTGTTCAGCGTGACCAACGATTTTGTAACGCTACAGAAAATAAAAAAAAAACTCATGATTTCGTGATCCATGCAAAGCTGTCGCTCTCATTTTCAGTTGTTGTCGAATTTATCCTTACAGAGTGCTCGGATCCGTCGAGAATAGTGTGTTGATTATTAGTGAATTCAGCTGAGCTGTATCATCAGTATGGTGATCTGACACAATGCTGGTGGCTGAGACGTGACACCAAACTGTCAGTAAACCTCGAAGAAAAGAATCACCGAGCTGAAAGAATTGAGCTGAAAGTGTGTCCATTCCATCTGCAGGACGTCATCGAAAAATTGATTTTCCCGTGCAGTAAATGCAAAATGAAACTATTTTTTTATATCTTTACATGAGCATAACAAAAAATAAAATTACGACGAGCTGTCTTCGCTCTGTGCTGTGTGTACTTTGTCCTGTTCGTTCAGTCTTTTTTCCTCTTCTGCCCAACTAACAATTTTCACAATGCAAACGCATTACTCATTTCATTTAAACAGCCTCAAGTTGTATTCTAACGTTATACGAAATGAGGCAACCTTAAATCAACCTATATACAAGCAAATCTGACGAACTTAGTCAGCTACTTATGGCTATTGGAACGATTGGGACAAGCTCTTATTGTATATACAGCTGTTATTCTGTTGTTTTAGTTGTGTGTGAACTTGAAAGACGCTTATTCAACCGTTCCCCAGTTATTCAATAATCACTATATAGCTTTCTCTTGAAGCCGGAAGGAAGGAATTTATTGAGTTTATTTTGCTGTGAATCAAATTAATTATAAGCACTCCATCACATTATTTATCCTGCACCGGAACCCGAAATCAAACGCGAGACGATCGCATTGGAAAACCATGGCACTACCACCCCAACACTTCGAACTGATGTAAAAAAATCAATATGCCCTTCTACAACAGAATCGCTGAGTAGAGGTTTTATAATAGTGCACATGAATCACTTTTCTCGACTAGTTACTTCAGCTTTGTAAAAGAGCAGAGTAAAAGCTGCAAAACCGCACACGTCTAAAATAAACCTAGCTGACTGTAAAATGCTTCCAAAGTAGCGCAAACACATTTTATTGGCTGTTGTTATTCAGTGCGACTGACACATTGAATAATGGTTGTGAAAAAGTTGAGTAAACGCTTTCCAAAACTATTTTGCTAGCTTCTGCTTATAAGTGTATCTACAGCTTTTTTCAGCTACTTTACAGCACAACGCTGGAAAAGTTGACTTATAAAGCTAAAAATGTTAGTTGGGTTGCCTGTGTGCTTTCCGCTAGGGACAGGAATTCATCCGGTGCTCCTCTGTCTAACATAGAAATCATTTATCCTTATTCACACCATAAAATATATCCCGTTCCGATTGGGGAAATAGTTCGAAATTTCCGTCCTTTTTCACATCCATGTATACACCTCGCACACCTGTGTACATGTCAAGGCCCAGCTCGGCAGGGAATTTCTCTCAGATGACACGCTTTACTTTCCCGTATTTGCCCAGCACCAACGTTAGATCATTGCCAATATCTGTGGTACTTATTGAACGTTCCCCCTTTGTATAAGTGACATCCGTTGAACCACTGCCTTTTTATTAGAATAATGGAAAATTAGTTGCTCCGGGTTATGAGAGCATAATGTAAACTTGTTTCAGATTTGAATTTGATAAAGATCGCTTTCTCCTCCACAACTGGTGTGTTGCATCCAGGGCGTCACAATATCAGCTTCAATTGACCAATTGACGATGCGACGAAGAGACTGCTGGCTTTCTTTTTCTGTTAAAATCGAACAGCTTCGCAGCATTCTAGAACCTCAGTCGGCGTGCACAAGCAAATGTTCAATCGCTTGTCTCTCTTTCTCCCGTCGCTCCATTGGTCTTCCATTCAAGCTTCGGTGAAACGGATGAGCGAAAGAGCGCTCGACTTTGTTAGTTTTCTCTTTCATGAAACACATCAACAGAGGTTTCATGACGTATGTGACGGAAAATGAAATTACATATTTTAAGCATTTCTCACGTGAAAACACTTGAAGATTACACGTAATATGTTTAATTTATCTTCCATCCACATATTCATCTAAAAAAAAATAACGAAAACGGGACATAACGCATTTTAAACAAATTGAAAGAGCGGTGATAGAGTGTTCGTGAAAGGGGATTGAAAGCCATAATGAAGTTTCGTTTAACTAGAAAATCGACGTTACTTACATTGAAAGCGATGAGCAAAGCAACGACGAGAAGATCCACAGCCAGCGTTTCCTTCTAAGTGTGCTTCTTTTTCATTATCATTTCTTGCTGATAGTCTAGCTAGGCGTTATAGAAATGAAGCGTTGAACACGTTTGTATGAGAGAAACAAAACTCGAGTTCATTTTAGAGCTTTGAAAATGTAGAGCCCTGGTTGCATCCATGCCAGCAGGATTTGTATAGAAATTGTTAAGTTTATTTATGTAACCAGTTGGTTACAATCCGTGGATTTTCGTCTATATGAGTTATTGTTGGTTGTGACAATTCACGTTTTGTTAAACCTAAAACAGTAAACCCACACAAGAGCGAGAGGG